TTCACTGCTGTGTGTGTGCACTTTGGATGGGATAAATGCAGAGCACTAATTCTGAGTATGGGTCACCATACTTGGCCACATGTCATGTCACTTTCACTATTTAATTTCTTTCTCCAAAAAAAAAAAGAAAAAGATCAGAATACACAATTAATTTTTAATGCCCATCAATAGATAATGATGTTTTTGGTGCCAGATGTTGTATTTGGTCAAACAGCATTTAAATCATTATTATTAGTTGTAGTAGTAATAATAGTATTTATTATATTATTATTATTATTAATAATAATAAAGATCATATTATTACTTTAAAAACAGCCTAATTAAAGAAAGAACATTGAAGCTGTAATGGAAATGCACAGCATACTGTGTGTTTGTCCTAGTGTCAGCAGGACTCCACCGTTAATGTGCTGCTGTATTTACAAGACTGAAAAACAGCAGCTGTGTTTGAGATTATCATGATGTCTCATTATAAGAACAACACCTGTCAATATTTCATTACCTTTGTGCGTCTGGCTCCATCACTGTCTGAAAGTCAGTTAAGGTCAAAATCATTTCAACAAAAGTACAACAAAAGCTGTTGTGATGAGAAAACCAGGTGCATCACATTTATTTTTCATGTGAATTTGGGAACAAAGTCAAAAGATAATGCGGGCTAAACTTGGCAGCAGTGACAGTACCTCTGTCCTCCAGGGTGCATTGTGTTGAGGAGAGAGGGGGAACTGAAGATTTGCATTCTGAAACAAACACTTTCCCCTCCCACTGGATCCTGTCCTCTTTAATCACCTGGACCTGAACATTTAAGAGACATTTAGAAACTGAGACAAAATAACACAGCCATGCACAACAGTGCAATCAAACCTGAGCTGTCTTGATGGAAACATTACAGAATAAGAGGGCCGGTTCATTTACCACACTGGGCAGAAGCTGAGGATCCAGGCCGTACCGAGACTCTGTCTTAGAATTTGACACTAGACTCGTCTGACAAAAGAGAGGAAAAGAAAGTGATTCTTCAGTAAATTCAATACAGATCATGTGGGCCACATGCTTGTATAATACATGAGACTGAGACAATTAGATAACTTTTCATCAATCACATACAAGCCATACTGACGACACTTAAAGAGCACTTACTCATTAAAGTTCACTCTGTCTGGGAAAAAGAAGTGTGATTGTTACAACTTTTTAATTTAGATATTTTTGAATTTCCAGAACTTTTCTTGTGTTGTGCTATTGTTTTATTTAATGACAATTTTGTTTTATTTATTAAATCACTAAATTAGAGATAAAAGTTCACCATAATGACAGATGCTTACACTGTCACTGGTAGAAACATTTTTTTTACATGTATGTTAAAATATATTTTATTGTAGTTTACTTTAAAAAATATTTAATCATTTTTTGTTACAATGTAGAATTACAGTGAGAATTTTGGTTTCAATGCATATTAATCTGGGACAGCTAAATGATTTAATACCAGATAAAGGTGAAAAACATTTAAGAATAATATTATATATAAAATATAATATATATAAAATTGTATAAGATAAAGTAGAATGAGTATAGGATTTTAATTAGTTTGAAAAAAGAAAAATGTACCCTGAAATACGACATAAAAAAGAAAACAAAATGGTACAATATCCCCCGATCTCCCCTACAATGTCATGCACTCACTGGTAATGAGTAGCTTCTCTGTGGCATTCCTTGATTCGTCTTATTTGTAATCTCAGGAACAGGCTTTAACACTCCTGTGACAAGACAGGATCAAAAATGTTAGCATGTTCTTCCATCAGACAGCTAAATTCTCCATAGATTGTGATGTTCAAAGATGTATTATTCTTACCTTGGTAGCTTTGCTGTGAAGGGTCCCAGTACAGTGACTGAGGCCGATGGCCTGCTGCGGTTCCTGTCGTTTGGGTCATGGGGGTCACACTCTGCTGATCTGGGTTCAGGTTTGGATAGTGATATGAAGGAAATGGACAGCTGGGTGAAGGCCTGTTTGGGGTCCTGGGACTCTGTCCGGCCCATGGCTGTGGTGGTGGATGTGTATAGCTGTGGTTTACTGCAGGAACCTCCATTCTATGACCAATTCAATCTACCTTTATAATACAAGACAACATTACAGAGCAAAGTCATTCCTTTTCATATGTGACCCTGGAGCACAAAACCAGTCTTAAGTCGCTGGGGTATATTTGTAGCAATAGCCAAAAATACATTGTATGGGTCAAAATTATCGATTTTTTTTAATGCCAAGAATCATTAGGATATTAAGTAAAGATCATGTTCCACTAAGATATTTTGTAAATTTCCTACCGTAAATAGATCAATTGATTAGTAACATGCATTGCTAAGAACTTCATTTGGACAGCTTTAAAGGCGATTTTCTCTATATTTTGATTTGTTTTTGTTTTTTTTGCACCCTCAGATTCCAGATTTTCAAATAGGCTAGTTGTATCTCGGTCAAATATTGTCCTATCCTAACAAGCCACACATTAATGGAAAGCTTATTTATTCAGCTTTCAGGTGTTGTATACATATCAATTAAAACAAAAAATGACCCGACTGGTTTTGTGGTCCAGGGACCAGGGTCACATTTCATAAAACGGAATGATAATCCCAGATTAAGCCCAAAATACCAGTATGTACACTGTAACCTTTCTGGCATGATGCAATTCAAATTTGTATTAAAAAGCTTCTCTACATACATACAAATTCGGTCTATTTATGTCAGTCATACTGTCAAACAGTGATTAGCTGATCGTCCATCACATCACACCGGTATAAATGCGCTCATCCGTCTGAATGTATTTGATTCCACACTACTGAGAAAATGAATTTTTACCATGCGATGCTTCATGTTATTAGGAGATTTCAGCACGAGTCGTCCCGAAAATTGAGAGATAGTTGGTATTAGTACGGAAATACGGGTATTGATGCAGAAAGCGGTCGCCTGGTTACCGTCAGATCACATTTTTAACGTGTCAGTCTTCAGCTCCGTCACTGCTCAGATGGTAGAAACCTCAAAACGCATAGAAACATGGCATTTCAATATTTTCAAAAGCCCTCCGCCTTCCGTACTAAAAGCACACCGTCTTCAAAGTCTCTACTGTGCGCACAGTTAATACGTCTCACCCAAAATGTAGTTGCAATATCATTATTATGACCTCAAGATGGCAGCACTGCGTTACCAAGCACTTCCGCCCATACGGGCCAGTGACGACTCACAATACGTATGGAGGTGTGAACGCTATGTAAAATGTATTTGTATTTTATAAAATATTTGCTAAAATTAATATGACCAACATCAATACAATTTACCACTGAATCTACAAATGTAAAATGTTATACAAAAAATTAAAGTTTTGTTGTTTATTTATTTAGAAACGTCCAGTGCTCAGTTCAGTTACAAACATAGGGCCTTCTAACTTTTTTTCCTCAGATCTCATACATGGGTAAACACTTCCAGATTAATTTAAATCCTCTAAATCCTACACTACACAATCACTGTGCTAGATGATACCTTATTTATTTAGGATAAATACAGTTCTTAATACTTAATGAGTCTTATTCCACCCTTTATCTCAACCACTTTTTTTTTTGTGGCCCTACCACTTAAGCATTCCATAACTTTTCTGTGATGAACTGTCTAAGAAATTCTGAAACTTTTATAAATAACATTGATCATGTCATATTTGTAGAAGTGCTGTACAGAAGTAATGAATCCTGTTCTATCATTTATTGCAATATCTATGTGATACGTGACAAATAAAATACCAAAATATATTCAGTATTATTATTTTATTGACATTACAAAGCCTGACATTTTTGCATATGGGCAATTTGTAATTCCACAAGGCATGTATGAATAATTTGCAAAACATGCATGATTTTAAGGGTTAATGTGCACATAAAGGCCAGCTATTTACACAGTGGTCCATCATAGTTAGAACAAACACTTGCCTAAAACAAGAATGGAGGTGGAGGTGGTAGTAAATATTTCATCTACTCTTCTGCATGCCCTCAGTCCACTGATGTAATATTCATGAGGTCAAGAGGGCTGAAAACTACACTTTGGAATTCACCTGCTTAGCACACACACACACACACACACACACACGAAATCACACCATTAAGCATAAATATACACTTTTTACAAGGGCTGGCTTATACTTTAAACATTTGGCTAATAACAGCCTCGAGTTGTCTTTTGAAATTATACACCCAATGGCAAACGCTGAAGCCTGCACTGTAAAAAATGTTCACCCCTTTCAACTTAAAAACATAAGTTTTGTGGCTGCCTTAAAATTTTAAGTTAAATCAACTTAAAAGTACAAGTCATTTCAACTCACTAATTTAAATCTTGCCTATTCCTGAACTGTTTAATTGAAGTTCATTTGACTTTACAATATTTGCTGTTTCAAATTAAGTTCAACATTTTTAACATTAATTTTCTAGTTATGATAATGTAAACTTTATTTTAGATCCAGATAAAAAAAATATACATTTGTTTGAAACATTTAAAATTTATTTTTTTCTTGCAGTGCTTATAAACAGGGTTTTAATATTAAGAACAGTACACAACCTGCCTGTGCATGCTAATGTGTGAATGCCAGTATATGTATACAACAAGTGCACAAAAGTAGCAAAAAACTGCCAAGAAACTCTCATACAAAGTTGAGACAAGCTTGAAAAAAAAAACACACATACATGTCCATTACAGTCCTTTTTTTTCTTGAACATTTAAAAGGAGAAAGGTGTCCTGCAGTGCACCATCGTAGTCTTCTTATTAGGAGGCCAGCTTGCACGCCCTTCTTGTGTGTATGAAGTGTCACACCATGAGCCTTTAAAATCAGAAAATAACAGTAAAAATTACTAACAGTTGGTTATTCTATATACAATACACACTGACAGACTTCAATATACACAAATTAATTAAACGCATTCAAGGTTTTGAATAACAAACAAAAA